AATCATTTGAAAAATATATTTGTTAAATGAAATATATTTTATATCCTTTTGCAAACATTCCACAAAATAAATTTAATCTATACAATGTAGACATATAAAATCCCTGATGTATAAAACTTGTATAAACATAATCCAATATTTAATCCTTATATTATACTTAATGTCTACAACTCACAATTATGGCTCTTTTTGTAACACTTAATCAATAATACCGCAGACATGGATTGTCATTTACGTAAAAGTACTTAATAAGCACACAATAAGAAAATTCTTGACAGTTAGACAGCAAATATTTTATCATATTACATGCCATTTTTAGCCTCGAAAGGAATAATATGGCAGTTCTAGCGAATATGAATTGCTTGAAAGAAGTGTTTGCTTTTATAACGATTATTGATTGTTTAGATATTAATATTTCCATTTAAAATGGCAATCTGCGAGTAGTGTTACTGATAAAAGCTTCTTTTCTTTTTGTTTTGAGATGGGAAACAGTACAGATTTCTGAATACAATGTTATCGCATTTCGTCCCACCCAATAACGATCGTAATTGAAAAAGTTCGTAATATTGGACTTCACACTCAAAGAATTATTTGAAAATCAAACAATTATTTGGTGTAAGAGAACTCAAAACAGTTGAGAAAAATTATCAGCTGAAGCTGTTGTGAGTATATTAACCCAGATAGAGGGAGGGAGGGAAGGGGGGGGGGGAGATTTAAGCTTACTTAAGAAAAATATTAAAAAATGAACAAAATAAAAACTTAAAAAACTTGATATTGTAGAAAAGTGTTTAATTTTATTTCGGAAATCGATCATGATATTTTCTCCTTATATTTGTGACGTTTTTAAAATTATTGGAGTGTTTATGTATTGGTTTTCTTAAGTTTCGCATTATTTTGGTCAAATATTTTTAATTATTACAGTAAAAAGAAAAGAAAATTCCAGAGAAAATCAATACAATGAATATCAAGAACTATAGCCAAAACGAAATTAATCTTTCATACTTATTTACTCAAAGTATTACATCTTAATTTCAGATTACTAACTGTAACATGATCTTAAATCTTTTAAATTGTTAACTGTTATAAAAAAAATGAAACAAAAACGTGTATTTTGAATTATTATAGACATTTGTTCTATAGGTATTCGATTTTTAAATTTATTTTTTGTAGTAGAAAATTCATTAAACTAACCATCAAATAATAACAACAAAAACAAAAATTATAAATAGTATTTTGTAGAGTAAAATTCATCTACATCCCAGCCATTTTGAGTGTTTTCCTAGAAAAAAACAAGAGAAAAAAAAAAAATAAAACTAAAAGCGTAATTTGAAATTACATACATAACAAAAAATAGCCCAATCTTACGTACACCCCATAATCCAAAGAAATAAAGACCAAACACACAAAAAGATTTTTTAAAAATTTTGATTTCGTTGAAAAACATATGTGCTTTCGATTATAACAAAATACTTAAGATAACAATATTTTTATGTATAATTACGGGATTTCACACAAATAAGCATACCTTACATTACAACCATTAAATAACACAAAATTTCAAAAATACACATTTAAGAGCACCTCATATCTCTTTCATACAGAAGGATTCCTCCAACAAATAGGCTTTTGAAACTCTTCCACATCGTTACATCATATATGTCCGGGGAATAAATACAACTCCTTCTTAAATCAACTTTTTCTTTCGTATTTTTAATGTGAGGGATGATATTAATTTTTCACGTACCACCACACAAAGCACAACGGGGTTATTGTAATTTATCGTAAAATCCGGCGTATAGCAGAAACGGCGTATAACGCGTATTCAAGCAGCATTTTTTAATTTTTAGGTATATTCGTATAACGCGCGGCCCCTTTTTTACGAGGAAACCTGAAATCTACTTGTGCAATGCTCTTATTTTGAAGTCAGTTATTCGATGTATCATCCCAAACTTTAGAAAAAATAGAATACTTCTAGAACTACAACCCTTTAAGTTCGTTTGGAACGTCATTTCTTTTAAATAAACTGCATTTCGGATGTATGTATATATAGAAGTCTAATTTTTCTTTATGCTCACTCTTTTTTTATTATTACGCGCACCAGTAAATTTTGGTCTTATTTTTTGTGTTACAAGTGCGCGTTATACGCCGGATTTTACGGTAATTAATAGGATACAAGACTCGTAATTACTTCCAGAGGATTCAGGTTTCATTTTTCCGAAGGTTATTATATTACCAACGATTGAGGTATACATAAGGTGTCAGCACTCTCACGTCAATACTCAAGAGCGGTGTTGATAAAACCAATATCCTGTCAAGATTCAAATTTATCATGCTGGTGTAGCTTGGTTGTGGTGACTGGAAAGGCTTTCAGCTCTTGACTTCCCCATATGATCATATTTCATAATAAAGCCACTAAAAATTTAATTTTATGAAAAGAATTAGAATTATAAATTATTTTACGTTTTTGCAGATTCTATTTCTTTAACGTAATTTCTTACAAAGTTAGATGAATTTTTTATCTTATCTGACAACTGTCGCTAAATAAATATTACAAAACTTTCTATGTGATGTACAGAATTTCCTTAAAAATTTTTTTAAAGATCGAAAAATTTACCTTTATTTTTTGCATTATTATTTTTTTTATCTCGTTATCATGATATAAACATATCATATATGACCTACTAATTCATTTTAAGTTCTTACTGATAACAATACAATCTACAGCATTTCTTTTTCAGTGTTTTCAGCAGAATGTGGTCTTAGTTATTTATCAATAAGTTACTATGAACGATAATTCACAGATTCACAACACTTAAAAATAAACAGCTCTGTTACTTTATAGGTCTTATCTTATTGCCATGGGAATCATTTTTATAATCTTTAATTTCGTTCTTCGCATAGTCATCTTGTCAAGATATGCGATAAATGCAAACTGCTACACGTTTCATTCAGATTCAAGTTCTATAATACACTTGAAATTCTTAATTTAAAGAAATGTTTTTACTGAAATTGTAAAATATCGGTTTATAAACCAATTAAGGGATTCCAATATCAGAATCGCTAAATTTCTCAAGTGTTAAAATTCTGGATGTTTAGAATTAAAAATTTGCAAGGAGATTGTTTTTCAATTCCTAGTATTAGCTCACACTCTCTATATATATTTTTATTTATCTTGGTGGAATTTTCAATCGTTAATAAAATACACTTTAAAGCACTCAATTGAGCTGAAATTTATATACATGGTTATTTTGGATGACACTGCAATAATTTCATTATAATTAATAAAAATTAATTGATTAAAACTAATTATTTAAAGAATTACAAATACACACAGCCACGTTGGCATCATTTTTGGCGACTTGCGTCAAAACTTGAAAAGGTTTTTTTCTCACGTGTTAAAGCCTTCAGTTGAACTGAAATTTTATATACACGCTTGCTTTGGATGACAATACGATACTTTAATGACAATTAATAAAAATTAATTACCACTTAATTTTGTGATTCTGTCATATGTATATACATATTTATAATAATTGTAATTATTTAATAAAAAGTAGCTAAAATAAAATTTTTCTTTGTTGATCTAAGTAGGAGTTGACTTAATTTTTTTTTATATTACTTGTTTATTATAATGTTACTTACTTTAATTGTCCCGCTATTGCATAAATGGTACATGGCTTACAAAACACATCGCTGGGCTTATAAAACATACTTTATTAAACCTTAATAAATATTTTAAACTCATTGCTATTATAAAAAGAATTCTACAAAATCAAAATCAACAAGAGCATTTTAATTGAATTACTTCAGATCATGTCAATGACCGAGATATCCAAATGATCATACTCACGCTCCAAATGGTCAACGCCGGTCGCGGACTCGTGACCGGCGTTGTCGAGTCGTGGCTTCACACTTTGTGCCACTGAAGACCTTCCATGTAGAGGTGCTGTTTCATGTTCCATCTTTTGAGATTCAGTCACAGTCCTAGTGGTCGAGTCGCGGGTTCGAATGCTGATGTCACTGATGGCCCGTCATGCACGTTAAACCTGTGTGTGTGTTTTGGTTCAAAGTCTTCACGTTGGCGTAGAGGGAAGATAGGAGAGGGGAGTGCCAGTTCAGATGTCGTTCATGTCACGTGGTCATGGTTCGAAATTGTGAGGTCCATCTCAAAAGCCCTCGTGTTTCTTCACAGCATGATGTACATTAAAAATCATATGAGAACATGTCCTAAAGTTTATTTCAAGAGAATCCATAACTTTTAACATACTTAATTTTGCACTTATAACGTTGATAGATAATATTCAGGGGAAAAATTAGCACATTAAAAATAAAACTTGCAAAAAAGTAATAATAAAGTTCGTGTGTCTCATAAAAATCAGAGAGCTGATAACTTGATGCAAATAAATGTTTTATTCTTTGCTAAACATAAAATATTTTTGCATGTAGCTGTATGTGATTTAGGTCTATCTAAATTATATCCTACATAAAAATTCTTTGTATAGGAAATATCTCAACGAGTTTATTTTAATTACCTTAATTAATTACAGCGTTTTCCATTATAATTTAATCATAAAAATAAGTATTAAAGTGAAGAAATAAGTTCGAAAAAAAAAAGGAGTCCGCTATAATAAATGAACAAATGAAGATTTTAAATAAAAATTTTTAATAAATGTTGTATTGCTTTTGCTATCATACTCAGTAAGGATTAATTAGCAGACAAACATTTCTAAAAACTCGAGGCAAATGAATGTTCGATCAACTACTACTCATAATATAGTTCTTTTTCTCTCTCTCTTTTGTTAGACGCTTCGTTCTTTGTTGTTGTGTTTGTTTTGCTTAAGGAAATAAAAATTCTGTGTATTGATTTTTGCTAGTTTACTTGTAAAATCGGTTTCATGTGATTGATACATTACTGAAATCTCTCTCTCTCTCTCAATTAGCCTTTTAGCTTTATAAATTTTGTAGATAATATTTTGTGGATAATTGGTGGAATCACTTCAGCTCATGGAGTCTACTGGTTAGGATTCCTAGCTCTCACCCAGGCGGCCCGGGTTCGTTTCCCGTCATGAAAAGTTGAAAAAAAGTAGATGTTCAGTAGCCGAAAGATAGCGCATCGCGCTTTCACGACACAGATCCGGGGTTCGAACCCCGGGCTGAGCAAGAGCCTTTCATCTCCTCTGAGAGTCGATAAATGAGTATCAAGCTTGCTTGGGAACTGAACATTAGGGGTTTCGCGCCAGATTGACCACCTGACCAGAACGTTTGCTCATGAACCTTAATACCCAAGTTCACGATAACTGAGATGGGCAGAATAGACTTTGGGCCCTCCATGGGCTGTTGCGCCACTGAGTTTTAAGCTGGTTGGATGGCATAGTTGGTTTGGGCTGGCCATATATGACAAGATTTGTGGGTTAGACACCAGCCAAAGTCGGTGGATATGCATGGTGCAAAAAATTGACAGCATCCAATCCGTATGATTATGTGGCATTTAAAAGATCCTTAGAGTATCTGTTTGACATGGGTACTCCCGGCAAAATTAAATTCCAAGCACGGTTTTGCATTGTCAGAGCTCAGATGCCTCCCTCTGGGGAGAAAGATGGGCATCAAAATTTACTTGTAGCGATTGATATCCCATCTATATGGTGCCACACAAAAAAGAATGTAACAGTTTCCGGGGAATTTACTAGATCTGTGATGTAAAAGCACCAATCCCCATTAGAAATTTTAAAAAACCTTCAGTTCATCCACGTTAAAGAACAAAAACGGTGTGAGTTTCACGAATAGTAGAATATAATGTCCTCTTGAGAGAGAAGAATCAATATGTATACGTGAATTTCTCGTAAATATTTTGTGACGGGCTCATCGCGTTTTCTACTAAAAACTCCTCTTGGGTTCTTTGGGGCCGAAAAAGGCAAATTCTTTCCAACCAAATCCACAAGCGAAACGTGAATATGCAAATTAGAAACATTTTAAATAACAGAAGTTTAACGTAAGCGGATGACTTATTGGGAAGTGATTATGCTAGTCCGGTTTAAGCGCGTGAACTGAAGTAAGAGAACAAAACCGTCATTGAGTGTGAAGCTATCTGTGACAGAACGATCAAGTCAAGTTGGAGACAATTCCACGCGAGATAAAAGTTATTTTTAGGATCCTAGAGGATTGTGGTTAAACAAGAGATTAAGGTAGGATAATTCTAGTATCTATTAGTAACTGTGATATAAACAGAGATTAGGAATAGATGGGAAAGTTAAATATAGTGTTTAAGATCGCGCTTATTTGGTAATACGTAGTGTGTGTTTTCTCACCTCAGATCCGCTAAGTTATAATATAAATATTATCATTGTTAGTGTTTAAGTTAAGGTCTTAATAAAGACATTTTAAGATAATGGCAACGCCTGGTTCTTCATTCACTCCCACACCCCTAGGTCACAAAGATAACTTAGGAGTAAGGTATCACCTACGGGTGAATACCTCACAATTTTCTGCAACGAATTTTTCTTAATGGTCTCTTGGAACTATTTAGTGAACATCACATGTTTGGGTACCTTGAGCTCTTTCTGAATCTACCTGGAGTTTTTGATTTATTATATGCATTTTAGAGATATTTATATAAATTTTGTATTCAAATTTAATTACCTTCATTTTCGAATTTCTAGTATTCACAGACTTTTAAGCATGAAGTTTTAGAATTTATATATTAATGTAATAAAATAGAATCATAAATGAATATTTCTACATTTAAGACATCGTTTAATGGCTGTGGAAAAAAATTCGTCTTTTTAAGAAAGAACGATTACTAACAGATGAATGCTCAAGTTTCCTAATACGTACGAATTATACTTGAGAGACCATTATCACAATGTTTATGTAATGTGAATACTTTGTTTTGAGCAGTTGTTTAAAGTATTCAGTGTTATATATATAATATATATATATATATATATATATATATATATATATATATGCATACAATTTCAGAATTAGAAATTTTTTATGTATTATAATTAATAATTTTTAAAAAATTGCCATACAGAAATATAGTAGAAAGCATTTAAAGAACTTTTAAAAAATATGCAATAAAAATAGTTATTTTCATTTATTTATCAAGTAGAAAATCGGAAATCGTATTAAGTTATGATGACAAATGTAATTTGTTGTTTTAAAAATATATATATTCTGTTTCCTAAAAAAATTTTTGAATTAATTTTTTAACTCTTCTTACAAATGCTTAAAATTCTGAACAGCTCGATTCTATCTTCATTATTCTTGACTTCATGATTACGTATAAGTTCCTCCGAACACATTCAACACTAACAGTAATCAGAAAAATTTTCTTTTTTAAAAAAAGAAATTCGTTATTATATGTTTAAAAAAAAGATAAATTAAGTACTAGTCAAAGCAGGCATGAGATTGAAGACATAAACGCAGAAATCAAACACTGATTCACAAATGTTATGTTATATATAAATTTTTGTAAAAACTTCACAGTCTAAAATATTTTGAATGTAACAAATTAACATACTAACATTTCTTCTTAATATTCGAGTGTACATAGTGTTCATATATGCGTAACATTAAACAAATCAAATATTTGGTGTATTTTATGATATTTCAGCTTACAATAGCAACTAATTAGAATTCGTGAAAGTGATCATAATATGTTTGGAATTTAGTATTATTCTTCAGCATTCTTCACTGTAATATTTTAGTAGCAATGGAACTCTTTCAAAATAACAGAAAAATGTTTAATATATATATATATATATATAGTGAGCAATTAAAATTGTAGATAATTGAATAGGCCTGATTAGAAGAGAAAGAACTAATTGTAGAGAGAAGCCTAGTTTTCAATAGGGTTCTGTTTTTCTATTATGTCGAAAATTTCTGCTGAAGGGGAAGGTTGGATCCATAAAACAATGGTTAACCCTATTTCACTGTCCTAAATCAGTGGGGGGAAAATCATAATAATTATTCATTTTAATCCAATGACTCTTTCTGTCTTTACGATTTTAATTGCTTAATGTATATGTATATAATTTTCTTCATAAACTTCGAAAACCATTTTATAACCCTTTCAACGTTTCAACTGTGAGATTTTTAGTTTTCTCAATATACTTTGTTAAACCGCAGAAAAAGAGTAGCAAGCCGATAAAAACCTTCATTTTTTACTCTTTGAAGTACATTCTATAATAATAAAGGAATGAAAAGTAAAACAAGGTTTTCAGAGAAATCAGAAATATGTTCAACTGTTAAAATTATCGATAGGTGGAAACTTAAATGTTTGTTCTATAGATTTTCTATTATGAAAAAAATTGCATTATATTTCAAATATATAATAATATCAATTAAATTTCTTTACATAAATTATTTTACAAAAATAAATGCTTTCCCCAATTTCATACGTCTCAGAGATTGTAAGTAGTATTTCAACCCAAGGTGTTTTTAAAAACTTTGTATATGTAGTTCTTTTTACTTTATACGTAGTTAAATACCAGTAAAAGCAAAGCAGGAATGGGAATTTCCGTATCTTTTATTAAAAAGAAACTGTTTATTGTTTGATTGCTTCATAATCAATTGTTTTTATAACACCACCTGTGAAAATCACGTGGAATAAATTGAAGTAATACACATAAAAATACTAAATCACGAAATGTTCTGTTCTTTTATAGTACAGAAGAGACAATAAATGAAGCCAAGTTTGTTCCTTTCGATCATTTTACATTAAAAAGAGAAAAAGAAAAAGAAAACCTATGTATCTTCTTTTTATTTGAAAATTATCGTGCCAACCGGGAAATACGTGAGAAAATACAAAAGTCATCTGCTTTTATAATTCAGTTTATTTGTTATGATATATTTTTTATTTACAGTTGCCTTTTTATTGTTCGTTTTGAATCACCATATTATGTTGTGCACAGTTTCAAAAAAGTTTATATGGATGTCTCTTTGACTGGATTCTCGCCGAATGTAGGTGCTTGAATATATTCTTCCGTCTTTTCTTTTTATGTAGCTGCAGGAAAACAAAAAACCGTGTTTTATGGGGAGGTTATGTCTATTTCTGCGGTACTGGAACAACTTGTCCCCAGACACCTTTACAATGAGGTAGTTATTCTGTCGGATCTGTGGAAATGCCCATCTCTAGGAATATCCGTGTTCTCCTGAAGAGGGTGAGGATGGAGGAACAACAAATTACATTTCAATGGATCCCAGGACAATGTAATATTTATGGGAATGAAAGGGTGGATTACCTGGCTGAAAAAATTCAACAGTCAAATACTTATAAATCCTTTCATTCCTCAAAACTTTATATTAATAATCTAATGGGACAAAATTAGAAATCACTCACTTCTCGTGTTTCTGCAAGAAATTGGAGGATGGGCTTGGACCAAGATATCTCGGATAAGACCCGTGAAAAAGCTGTCGAGCAATTGAGACTTGCGGGGGTCATGACTGCCTTGCGGATCACTTTTATCGTATCGGTATATTTTTGAGGGACTAAACTGCCTACTCTGTAAGAAAGACGAAGTCATGGACAGGAACCATTTGTTGGGGCTCTGCGTGGAGACTCCGAAATGAAAAGATATTGGAGTGCTAGAAATCTGCTGATGGGGCATTGACGTTTTTAGTAAGTAAATACAAAGTGACAAGAATATGTTAGTGGTAGATATGTTATAAATACAAATTTTATAAAATGGTATCACAAATACCATGAGATACATGATAGTAAAAAAAAGCACGATGTTTTATTAAAAGATATCAAAAGCATATTTGGAAACTCAAAAATGGTAATACATTTTAATTATCCCCAGCAAATGCTGTCATTTTCGAAATGCGTACTTTATGGCAAATAAATCTTGTCCTGACAATTGTTATCAATAATTAAGATATGCATTTCTTGAATGGCAACAAAACATGAAGATATAATATTAGTTTTTTTTTTTCCTTTCAAATTCTGCATGGGAGTCAAAAGAAATATTTCTAATATTAAGAGGAAGCTTTGAAAATAAAGAATTCTTCATAAAGAAAATCTGCAAACAAAAGAATTCCTCCCAGGTAGAAAAACAAAATCTTTTCA